CTACGTTGGGGAGTGCACACGCACACACAACAATGCAATTCATAAAAATCCTCTACATTCAATTTGCTGATAAAAACTGAACGTGACACGATTCACGTTACTAGCCTGAGACAGCTGATGCAAACTCCGATTGTGGTGTGATTCAGAAATTCAGTGAACAGAAAGTAACGATTTCCCCATTCTCTATTCGCTTCCTGAATATGAGGAAGGTGTGTTGTACGGCTGAGAATGGGGGCCGGTTTGTGTGCTGGGAGAGTTTTTGAGTATGTTTGCCTGTAAAACCTGAAAACTATAGCTAGACAGTGTGTGATCAGATAACCATACCGATTAATAGTTGTTGAACTGTAATGGCTTTATTAAATGTAAATAAACTGTTTATATGGTAGATAGATGGATCAGAGCTGAAGATATAAAGCTGTGGTTTTTTTAAAGACTGTCTCAAAATAGCTAGATGGGTATATCAGTCTTTAAAATCTATTTGTGTCGTATAGTTTCCTAATTATAAACGTTAATGGAAATGAAGAGTACACTAAAAATTGTAATTTTAACTTACAGGAGTAATATAAATATCGTTGATCAGAATAAGATCGTATAGTCCATTTGGATGTTTAATCCAGCCATGTTGACACCCCTCCGAGAGCGGTGGTATGGCCGTGGAGGTTTGTCCGATCCAGTAATCTGATTGGCTTAGCCGACACACCCATAGCTGTCGGCGGCCTGCGCTTGTTCGGCAGGGCTGCCAATGATGCGTTTTACCCCCAGATCTGGGTTTTTATTTGACGCTTTGGGTGAAGATTTTGGAATCTTGGGTTTTAAAAAATACATCTTTTTATACAAGTGGGTAAGTGTTACGTTTCGTTGCTTTAAAATTTGTACTTTTTAAAAATCTGGGTTTTTTTGTGTTGCTTTTGCATTGCTTGGGTTTTTGTTTAGCTTAGCTGGGTTTTTGAAAAACGTTCCATTGGCAGCCCTGGCTGGTTGCATCATCACCAACTCTACCAGTGTTGCCACTTTGGATCTTTTATATCCAAATTTAGATCTTTTTCATTGCATTTAGATATTGTTTTTGACGTTTAGATCGTAAATATTGTTCTAGATTCTTTTCATATGAGTTCTATATTTTATAGATTTTTTTTCTTTCATTGTCAATTTAATAATTACTGTGTAAAATATTTACTACAGTATTTTTGTTTTGGTCTGGCACGTACATTGTGACAACTGCCATTACTTGAACTTTGAACTCTCACTGGGGTCAACGCACAAATATCTGGCAGCCCCGGTACTGATTAATAAAAACGCGCGTAAATCATACTAACTTTGTTTCAACCGTATCCTCACTGTGCTGACTTTGCTCTTATTTTACATGTGATTTAAAAAAAATAATTACTCACCTTCTTATGTGGCTTTTACTTTGAAAAAACCCTTCAACATGCCAAAAGTAATATATGAGCAAAACATTTGGAAAGAGTGGTTGTGTGATGACAAAATTAAAAACTGGGGATATGACCAAAGCTTGTTGTAAGTACTGCAAGTGTGAAATTAAAGCGCAAATACAAAACTCAAAGAGTCATGCAGAGACTAAAAAAGCATAAAACTGCAGTTTCATTTAAAGATATTACACCGCTGACATCTGTTTTCAGAACTATACTGATAAATAAATCGTCAAAAGAAGTATCAGTCACAATGTTTTTAATTTGTCACTGCGCAATTTGAAACTGTGACCATTTGATCGATTTGTTAAAAAGCTTGGACTAGCTCAATTTGAAAAGTGTGATGTAGAAAGTATAGTTTAGAAACTAAAGGACCTTTTAATCAGCAAAAAGTTAGGCTTGAAGAATTAGGCTGTAATTGGTACTGATAATACCTCAGTGATGGTTGGTATAAACAATGGCGTTTATGCCAAGTTGAAGGAAGCTAACCCATCGTTAATACTTATAAAATGTATGCGTCATTCATTGCAGCTAGCATTATCACATGCTTTATCTAAATATTGACCAAGGAATTTGGGATACCTTATTGCTGAAACACTTTACTGGTTTTCCAAATCATTTGTCAGACAACAGCAATACAATACATTATATACAGCTTTGAATGATGGTTCCACACCACCGAAAATTCTGTCAGATTGTAAAACTAGATGGCTATCAATTTAACCAGCTGTTGAAAGAATTATAAAGCAATGGCTGAAGTTGAAGACTCACTTTGAAATAACAAGACAAAGTGAAAAGTGCTACACAGCTGAAATACTATATGGAATGTACAGTGATGAAAAAAATGTGTCATTCATTCTCTTTTTATAACCTATTCTAATGGAAGTGCAAAAAGTTAATAAACTGTTAGAATCTAAACTTGTTGATAAAGTTAAATTACTTGATGATCTCACCTTGCTATTTCACTCGGTAAAAGACTGGTGTTGCCAACTTCTAAAGCTGATTTGCTCACTTGCACTATAGAGAGATATTTGGCTCCTAAGCCACTCCTTGGATATTAAATCGAATCAAAAATTGATGACTTAAAAACAAAAGGACTGTTAACAGAGAATGAAGAGAACAACTTAAGAAAACGCTGTCAAGATTTCCTTATCTCATTATTGAAGCAACTGAAGCAGAGACTTCCTGAAAATCTAGATGTTTTGAAAAATATTTCACTTTTTTCTGTGAGCAACATACTTCAGCCAATAAAGGACATACCTAAATATTGTAAAGTTATGAAATTTTTAGGGGCTACTGATAATAGTGTCGCGGAAGCAGAATATCAGTTAACCAAAATAATGTTAGCTGAATGGACAAACAAAACAGAAACTAAAACGTTTTGGAGTGAAGTGAGACAATTTAAAGATGCCTCATCAAACAGTCCATTTTGTAAGCTCTTTAAAGTGCCATGTCTGTCACGATACTACCCCACGCAAATGCTGACGTAGAAAGAGTTTTCAGTGTTAGGAATTATATCAAATCGAACCTAAAAAACAGGATGAAATTTGACTTCTTAAATGCTATCGTGCCATTAAAATTCGGCCTGATGACTAGAGAAATAAGCCTACTGTTCCACTTATAAGGAAATTTGAACAGCTAAAGCATACCAGGGTCATTTTGGATCTGAAGCTTCAACTTCATTATCCAAGCTAAGTTTATCCTGTGGATCTTGTGAGGCAGACATCAGTGAACGTGAGGACATGATTATGTAGGGTAAGTTGTAACAAAAGCTATGTAATTTTTGACTTTTTTAATTTGGATGTTTTTTCTAGATCTTTTTCACGCAGATTTGGATCTTTTTAGATATTTTTTGACACCGTTTTGGATATTTTTTGTAAAAGAAAAGTGGCAACACTGAACTCTACTTGTAGGCTTGTCTTCCTACGTCCGATTCACATTTCTCCTTCCGCAGGATTCGACACCCACTTACAAACATAACTCATTAAAAAAAACATCGCAACTATTTTGGCTGTAATTTGAGAAGACTGTGTCGAGCGAACGTGCATTATAGTAAATTAATACTGCTACACTAATCTCCATTATTTTGGCTTTGCCGGCTTCAATCGTCCCCGCTAGCTTGGCTTCTTCGTCTGTGTTCTCACAGAGGACATACTTGTTCATACATTACTGACGTATTTGTATCAACGAAATCTTTTGTCGACACAGTTGTTCACATTTTATAGGAGCTGCGGAAGATTTACGGCTGTTCCTGTATAGACTTTCAATATGGGCGTACCGGTAAGTTTTCGTTGATCTCTGTACATTTATAATAATTGTTATTTCTATTCCCGTATGACTTCAGTCAGCGTATAGCTCGTCCTGAACAGAACGTCGCTCTGATCACGGTCCGCATGAAAGAAACCTGCCTTTTGCCCGCTCCAAAGCTGCATTCACATTCCTGCACAGGGTGTCTTATATGTTATGCCAATCTTAGTGCTGGTCGACCTCTGCACAATCTCACCTAGCATCATGACACCCACCACTGTTCTCTGTCTCTGTCTGTCTGTCTGTCTGTCTGTCTGTCTGTCTGTCTGTCTGTCTGTCTGTCTGTCTCTCTCTCTCTCTCTCTCTCTCTCTCTCTCTCTCTCTCTCTTCTCTCTCCAGTCCATCGTGGTGTACATGCAACCAGGGTATTCCCCACTTTACAAGACAAGAGCTGTGTACAAGTCAGGTCTCCTGTACTGCATGTTGATGTTCAGATCTTTTAGGATGTCAACATTACTTTTTGGGTCCATATTTATGAATCCCCACCGACCTACATTCCAGACATTCTCGATCAATGCTAATTGACGACAGTTTGATATTCCTCCATACCCCCGTATAGACCAGTCAATATTTCAGTTGCTTCACCCTATGAAAGTCGTTGGTTTGTTTCGTGGACCTACGTAGATTGGTACAGTTTTTACAAGGGCCACTGGGAATTCTCCCTGGATCTACGGAGTTCAGGTGTGCTTTTGCCATTCTGCAGAGAAAGACCGAACCTCGTGGAGTAAACCTAGGGCAGTAAAGTCAAACCTCTTGATTTTAAACTTTATTTTTTGATTTTGTAATAAACTTTCACATGTATATTGTATATTCTTCCCCCCCCCCCCCCCCCTCCGTCTCAGATATCATTACGGTTTATCTTTCCCGTCGTCACTACCATGTTCTACGATGCAAATCTTTTCATCACATCACGAAAGAATAGTTTCTATCTTATTGTTACCTATAATTCTTTTTCACTTGCTTCTTCTGTGCGCTTCGTTATCAAGGGGTGCCGGTTCGATACCAGGTGCGGGCTTTGCGCCGTGCCGCTCCGTTAGTTTTGACAGTGGTATCGAGAAGCTTACCGCCCAGAAAGCAATGCCAAACTTCTAGACGTAAATGTATGCCTAGAAAAACCGCAACAGCAAAAAAAAAAAAAAATTGCTGGGGTTGGTTCTGCAATGTCCTGTAAAGAAAACGCAACTAAATTTTTCTTAAAATAATATTTCATGAGAGTGAATGCAATGATGCCAGAAACAACAGCGCACGACGTGAAAGTAGAAACACCAAATAGAACCACAGCAAAAAGGGTCACTGTAACTGCACATCACAGTATATCAGGCAAGCCAGCATAACTAGCTCGGATGCCCATTTAGCGATCTGATTCAACCCCCCCCCCCCCACCCCCCAATAACATTTGTAAAGAAATTATCTTATTAAGTACATTTATAATATTTATTTGCTATATGTATATAGTTTAACAGCTTCCTTTCTCCAGGTATAGAAATTATCTGTATAAGTATGTCTTGATATATTCCATGTTATTTCACATATATTATTATATTTATTAACCATTAAGCACATTTTACTACAACTTTTTTAACAAATTTTGTTTCAAAAGGTCATAGCTGGCGCATTAACAGCAAGGGCAAATAATGATAATGCAAAACCAATTGGTTGACTACGTCTGAATACATACTCATTGTGGCAGACAAAAACAAAACCACATTCCTCTCGAGTTACTGACTAAACGAGAGTGAGTGTACAAACATATATAAAGCGCTAACGCGTACTCGTACATGATATCCAGATGTATTGTTTGCGACAGAAATGAGTTTAACAAAGCTTCGACCCCTGAAACCAGGCATGCCAAACTGAGGGTCCCCCTGAGGGTTTTTAATGGGTCAAATGTCGTCATGATGGCCGCACATAACTAGCGAGAGTCGTTTAGTGACAATTACTGCAGAATATTTCCTCTGTGCTGGTCGCAGGTGTGCTTGCAAAGGGCCGGATGCAGCTCAGGGGTCGCCAGTTTTACGTGCATGCCTTAAATCACAACCGTTGCTGGGAGGGGGGGGGGCGCTAAGGTCCCATTCTTGATGTTTTTGTGTCGGTGCCCTTGGAATGAACTGTAGAGGAACAGAACAGAATACTAGTTTATTGAAATGAATGGATAAATTACCACCGACAGGTCTCTGTCACCACCAGCCTTAGTGTGCATTGTTGAGCTGGATTTGAAACAAACTGGGCCTACAGGCTGCACTTTCACCCCGAGTGGCCGGGTCTTGTCCTTGTTTAGGGCACGAAGACAAGCAGGTATATGTTAGCATAGGCAACACGGTGGTGGATCAATGAATGGTGTGGTATTCAATAACTTGGCGAGCTTTCAACTTTACTTTCGTGTTAGATCAGCGTACATTGGGTCTAGCTGGAATGTTTGCAGTAATGCTAAGTTAACAAACACTATGGTAGAGTGGGTAGCTCGCTTGTCAGCCAGGCTGATGATCAAGGGATACATTTCATACTCAGGCCGAAATGCAAAGGTGTCTAACTGTACGCGACGATACACCAGGACAAAGTTATCAACTGGCCATAACCTATTTACAGCTCTCCGCGGTCGTCCTATAAAGAGATCCTCAGAGAGGGGACCCGGTCAAGATAGGATCCACGCCTGCTTAGCATTTAGGAGTCTGTTTCTGAAAGGCGAGGCACCAACATCCTGTACACAAATAAGCTATACCTGTAAAACAGATATGGATGCAAAATCTCAAGTCCTGTGACAGAACTAAAGTTTAGAAGTGGACGAACAGCCTGGTCTTTCCGCTGGAGGTTACAGTCTGCAAAGTCGACGAAAAAACATCGAGGTATCGAAGTACCTGAGTATCATGTAGCCGCTATATGATTAGGCGGACATTTTTGGCAGCCCACAAGGGCAATCCGCGGACCACAGGACTTTCGCTCATTCCTTCAGTATTAACCAAACATCTTGTCTCTTTACTAAAACGTCTATCAGCCCCATGTAGTATCAGTATTTCAGAAAAATCTAGAGCAGGGCTGTTCAATTAGGTTTACTCAAGGGCCAACATGTTGAAAATGGATAAACGTATCAGAAACTTGCGTCCCAGCATAGAAAGATCATTAACACTAGACAACAGGCAATGATCCGCAGGCCATCTGTTAGGGCTTCGCGGGCCAGACTCAGCCACGGACCGCCAGTTGAATAGATCTGACTTGAGTGGAAACGTAAATGGAATTTGCGAGAGGAATGTTGAAAGAATACCCATGTACTGGCAGAATATTTTAAAACTTCAGCATAGAAGTTAAAAAAGCAGATTTTTGTTGTTGTTGTGGTTTTTCTAGGCAGATTTACTTCCAGTAATTTGCCATTGCTTTCTGGACGTTGGGCTTCTCGATGCCACTGTCGAAACCAAAGCAAGGCCCGCAGCTGAGATCGAACCCAGCACCCCGGCATTAAGAAGCTCGTTCGCAACGCTTAGGCCACAGACGCCGACAAAATCTTATTACCAATGTAATATACGACATTATATTATGTGAACGTATCACGCCACAAAGGGGCGTGAAGGTAGGGGCCAAGCATATTATAGGATACCCCCTCTTACGCGCACACCACTTATCCAACGCCAGCATCTTATCCTCACTTCTTGGTTAAGTCGAAAGTGTTTTGCTATCTCCCAAAGTGGCTCTGTCATACTATTTAAATCCCTCGCAGGCACCAGTTAAAGAATGTGCAGTTTTCTCTTGTTTCGTACAGCAATAGTAATGATCTTTTTAACGTTTTTGGTTCATTTGGGTAAATGGTGATATATGTTTATTATAGACCAATCGGCACGCAAAGGGTCGATCACGTGGTCAGCATCACAATCCCCCCAACCGTCTTTACGTCCTAGGACATCGCCTGATGCCATTTGTAGGCTAAGTCTACCTGGGAGCCAACGTCTATTTTAGAGAAGAACATTTTCTTTCTTTCTTTCTTTCTTTCTTTCTTTCTTTCTTTCTTTCTTTCTTTCTTTCTTTCTTTCTTTCTTTCTTTCTTTCTTTCTTTCTTTCTTTCTTTCTTTCTTTCTTTCTTTCTTCTTCTTATTCACCCGGCCCATAAATTGGCGACTGGCACGTTGTATTGTAGCTTACCGTTAGCCTGAGACATCTGCGCCTTTGAACCCAACACATCAGATTAAAACAAACCTCTAAGCAGTCACTTTTTTACTACATTTGTGTCATGGGCAGTGGGTCTATCCTACCCCTCTTTCCAAATGAGGTCCCTGAACCCAGATGGGTACCTGCGGATTTGAAACCCTGAACTTCGGACGGAAATTGATATAAATGAGAAGAAGAAGACAAAACAGACGTTAATTTGGAGAAAAAGAATATAGTTTTAAAAAGATAACTTTGCCCCGCGTCATAAACACTAGAAAATATTGACTCTATTACTTATGTACAAAAGAGTGTTTCATGTGTAGTTAGTTACCTGAGTTGTCTTATTTTCTTCCTAAAAATGAGTTTTCACACATGCGGTGGAGCCCGAGTGTAGGATGATTAATGGGGCAAGTGGTCGGAAATCACAACTTGGAAACCCTGTGTCTCTGTATTCGCTATCCCCCAGACTGACACTAAGCTGGTGTGTAGATTAAGGACGGCCCAGGTCTGGCCGGCCAGCGTTTCTGCTGCTCTAATGTTTCTAGTGCTTTACGCGATGTTCCTTCCCTCGCTTTATCTAGCACCCTATTAATGCTTAGCGTAAGTGAAATGCCTCGCTGAAACGTCTGCATTTTATGGCTTGCTGTTAATGTCATGTTCTGGAAAAGCACCGAGTTAATGTGCTGCTGGCAGTAACTCAAATCCTATAGCCTGGGAAGTCGCTGTAATGGAAGCCTGAGTTTCGTTGCTTGTTGCGCCTTGTTTCACCGCAAGCTACCCGCTCACTTGAAGGTTACAGTTAGTGCCTGAGGGTTTCCACTTTACTGGCATAGGGGGACCCTCATAGGCCCCTTGAGGCCCCCTAATCTGCCCCCGAAAATTAATAAGGGGACTTATCATGCATAGAAGTTATCCCTTTTTGTATTCGTTTATACATTTCAATAGTTATATGTTATCTAGAATATTTTAGTATTATTATTACGCTCATTAACTTGGCTACGCCTCTTAAGCTCCCTAGGCCTAGAAATGCGTGGAGAGTGGGGGGTGAGCTTCTCCAATGTTTTCTTCGTGCCGTCTCCCCTGATTGTCGACGCTATTACAAATGACTAGATGTGGGTTTTGTTTTTAGAAGAAATAAACAGGGACACACTGATGACAGGCATAGGCGACAACGGTTTGGCAAGAATCTGTTACTTTTTCTTACTAATCATTTTCTTACTAATCATCTTCCTGTTGAAATAACAGTCATAGTTAGGTGGACCTAATCTCCCTCAGGGGGTACCAGAGATGTACATCTACCTGAAGCTTAGCACAGAATGGAACTGGTCACCTGATACACAGCCTAGGGTGTGTGACGTAATATTAATCAGGCTTCCTGTATCTGGCATGGCTTTGCTAGTTTTGTCGTTAATTATACTGACATAATAGTTAATTACAGAATGGCAAGAGGTAATTACACCGCGATACAAGCTGTCTGGTGTGTAACTGAAGCTATTAAGTGATTGTGTACGTGTGTGCAACTGATCCGTGGTCGTTCATGTTGCTTTCCCCAAGAGAGTTACGTTGTATTTTTTATTTACTGGCGCATTGCAGCTGATTTGAACATCATTTCCGACGATATTTTCAGGTTAAGATCCCCCTGGCCGCCCTCCCTTCTGAGTCTCCATTTCAACATGTTATGTCTGTCCAGTCTGCCAGCATTAGTCTGTGATTGTCAGCTTTCTGAAACGCGACACGTTTGTGATCACTGTCTCCCCCACCCTCTTCTCAACCCATGCAATGTTAATGGAACTGTACCTCCTTCTTGAGTTCTCTCCAACGCACACTTAACAGCTGTTTTGTTGTGAACTTTAACAAACTCTACCACTCTCTTGTGATAAATGTCAAAGGCCCAGAAATGTGTATCCCAAGGCAGTGCCCCAATTGTCGAGCGTCTGTTATAGTTCATTGGATTCATTAGCTTGACTGCAGGCACTCATGATCACATCTGATATACTTGGTTTCACGCCGTCTCTTAACCACCCCTCTGCCCAGTTTTCACAGCACAGAAAGAACAACACCCGGTAGCCATGTGTTTTCCAGACCCGCCCTGTTAGGTATCTAGAAACAGCTGGGCAAAGAACCATGAACAAATAAACAGCATTTTTCATGATATTTCTTTGTGTCATCCGTCTCCACAGCAAAGGTTCGGTCATAGTTCGCCCGCTGCTGTTTTGGGGAATATTTCTGCATAGTGATGTCCGTCTCCTTCACGGTTCGACCCTGGTACCATTGTAAGAAAACCACTCCCCCGCATATCGAGCCCTAATAATGCAAGATGGTGAAACTGTTAGACGTTCTGAAGCTGGATGCAAAATGTTAACGGACACATCACCCATTGGGAGGCACTTGAGCAGCATTGAACAAATAATCATAGAAATAATAATATGCACTTGTTAGAACTAAAAGTGGTAATCTGTCTGTCTCTGTCTGTCTGTCTGTCTGTCTGTCTGTCTGCAAAGAGTTAAGAAAAGTATATGACACTTCTTCCTCACAGTTCTGTCAGTAAATCTTTCTCATAATAATAATACTTGTTTACAATTCTGTTGTCTAAGTGTGTGTTGTTGTCTAAGTGTGTGTTGTTGTCTAAGTGTGTGTTGTTGTCTAAGTGTGTTTTGTTGTTCATTTATCCCTGCAGGAAAATGAGGGCAAGGTGACAGGAATCCTACTCCTCAGTATAACCATCTCTTGTGTTGGCAACTCATTCCTGTATGGGTACCAGATTGGTGTTGTCAACCAGCCTGCAGTGGTGAGTTCATACATTACCTGTTTTTTCCAGCAGTCAGTAGGTAGAGGTGAGATCATACATTACCTGTTATTTCCAGCAGTCAGTAGGTAGATGTAAGATCATACATTACCTGTTATTTCCAGCAGTCAGTAGGTAGATGTGAGATCATACATTACCTGTTATTTCCAGCAGTCAGTAGGTAGAGGTAAGATCATACATTACCTGTTATTTTCAGCAGTCAGTGGGTAGATGTAAGATCATACATTACCTGTTATTTCCAGCAGTCAGTAGGTAGATGTGAGATCATACATTACCTGTTATTTCCAGCAGTCATTAAGTAGAGGTGAGATCATACATTACCTGTTATTTCCAGCAGTCAGTAGGTAGATGTGAGATCATACATTACCTGTTTTTTCCAGCAGTCAGTAGGTAGAGGTGAGATCATACATTACCTGTTATTTCCAGCAGTCAGTAGCTAGAGGTGAGATCATACATTACCTGTTATTTTCAGCAGTCAGTAGGTAGAGGTGAGATCATACATTACCTGTTATTTTCAGCAGTCAGTAGGTAGATGTGAGATCATACATTACCTGTTATTTTCAGCAGTCAGTAGGTAGATGTGAGATCATACATTACCTGTTATTTCCAGCATTCAGTAGGTAGATGTGAGATCATACATTATCTGTTATTTCCAGCAGTCAATAGGTAGATGTGAGATCATACTTTACCTGTTATTTCCAGCAGTCGTTAAGTAGAGATGAGATCATACATTACCTGTTATTTCCAGCAGTCAGTAGGTAGAGGTAAGATCATACATCACCTGTTATTTCCGGCAGTCAGTAGGTAGATGTGAGATCATACATTACCTGTTATTTCCAGCAGTCAGTGTGTAGAGGTGAGATTATATATTACCTGTTACTTCCAGCAGTCAGAAGGTAGAGGTGAAATCATACATTACCTGTTATTTCCAGCAGTCAGAAGACAGAGGTGAGATCATATATTACCTGTTATTTGTCAAGTAGTCATTAGGTTGATGCTTCCACTAAGAACTGACATCACAGCACTTGGGACGTTTCCATAAGTGCTCGATCATCATCTTCAGCAGCCAGCAAAAAGTTTGAATTCCAAAAATGGCAGTAACAGTTTGATTTTATGCCTATCTTGCTTTTGCTCTGAGTATAGTGTCAGCCAGATCCCCTGATCACTCCTAAATGTACCATTCTCTCCAGACCATCATAATCTATTCATGCCTCTGTATTGTTCACATGCTTTCAGAGGGCAGTGACCACATCTAGCGTGTCATTCATAAATTCGCCACCCATTGGTACAGAAACAGCAAGGCTGTCTGACTGTTCATTTATTCACTTCAGTTATTTGCAGGTCTGCATGTATATTATCTCTCCACTGTCTTCTTGGTCTACCTCATGGTCTATGGCCATTCAACTGCCTTTTGTACACAGTTGTTTCCTCTCTGTCATCTAACATTATCTCAATATACCCTAGACATTTCAGTCTATTAGCTCTCACGATGCCAGTGATCAGTGGTGATTTAAACATGTTAGGAAGTTAATTGTTGCTTCTCACTCTCCATTTTGCATCTTTGATGAGTGCAAAGATTCATAGTAAGACTTTCTGAAAATTTGTGGTAAAACCTGATCTCTTTTAGTTGTGCTGCAAGTTTCAGAGCCATAAACACAACCGATCTTATTAGCAATGTATATACCTCACTCTGCAGGTTGGCAACTATGCAATACACTTTTTTTTTAAAATATATCAGTTCTGTTTAAAATCTGTTTCTTGGTGCTTAAACTTATGTTTGGATGTCTTAATTACTGTGTCACTTAGTATATAGGTGCACTGGCTCGTTGACATCTTATTTCTATTCTCCCATCAACCTAGAATATACTTCTTAGATATTTAGATTCTTTAATTTGCTTCAGACAAGTACCATTCAACCTTATACAAAGCGGATTATTGGATTACCTAATTGTTTGTCGTATTTATTTTTATATCTTCTGCATGCTGAACTTAACCTATTTAAATGTTCTTGCAGTCTACTCGCCTCATTGTAGAACAGGCACTGATAGCAAATAGCAGCAATTTATTGTGTGTGGATCTAAATTCTTCCTCTGTAAAGTTCCTCATTTTCTGGAATTTCTGGGTCCTCTGCTTTAAGCTGACTTCTTTTGATATTCTGTCTATGTAAATAGTAAATACGAGAGGAGAGCACATATCCATGCCTTGCCCTTGTATTGAATGTAAAAATATCATATATGGCTTCTTTTGCTCTCACTGCACTTTAGGAAGTGCGGTACATGGCCATGATGTTTTCTAGCAGTTGTCCTTCTATCCCGTAATGACTAAAAACAGCCCATAATTTGTTTCTGTCTACTCTATCAAGATCATTTGTTCAAATTTACAAACACAATATTCAGTTCATTGTTAAATTCAATGGTTTCCTCACAAACTTGTCTTAGTGTAAATAATGCATCTGTAAACCTTTTCCTTTGCTGAAACCAAATTGTGATGTACCTAGGTGCTATTCTGCTATTGGTCTAATTCTTTGTTTGCATAAGATTTTCTCTGGTGTGGCTTAAGAGTGATATTACTCTGTATAATGCAGTCTCTTGTATTACCTTTTTTGTTGGTGATGAGTGTGAAATGGTTGTTTATTGTTAAGGATTTGTTTTTAGGGAATTTCTGGTTTTGTAACCCCCTCTCCCCCAGGATTTCTTGGGTTAAAGGGTTAACATTAACAGTTTTGCATATGAGACATACTTTACTATTCTAAAAAAAACAATACATAACATATGTTTGTATTTCAGGAAGGACTGTATTTTTGTAAAGCGTATCAGCAACACCCAGTATGTCACAAAGTGTAAAATAGATCTAGTCAATCCATAGATTATCTTCATTGCACATCCCACCATTCAGTCCATAAGTGCTTGAGTGATCTCCTCAGTATATCCCTGGGCATTTAGCAACAGACCACATTCGCTCTGTGTTTCTTTATTACTATTATTCTGTGGCTTCCTGCATAGCTGTGGTTATTGTTTCACTTATTCTGGTGTGATATCCTTGCACCTGATCATGACTGGAGTATATAATTATGATAAAGAGATGCGGCTGGAGGCCAGCAAGTCTGTGGGTGTAAAGAACTACACTATTAAGGAGCTGCTGGCCACTGGAGTCAACAAATGTCATTCGACAAGCTGATTTGCTCAGCATTGATGCCATGCTACATATTCTGTAGAACAAAATGGATTGTGTCTTTGTGCAGCATAGTTTGTTTTAGATAAAACTCTCTTTATGCAGCATAGTTTATTATAAATAGCTAGTTTGTAGAAAATATATAAATACATATAAGAAAAACATACATTATTGTAGATCATGTTTTCAGTTCATCATAATTGAAACAAATGCTGTTTCCAGTACATTGCAATTAAAGCAAATGCAGTTTTTTAAATTACATTATTGAAACAAGTGTCATTTACAAAAAAATCATCCTTGTTCTTCAGTATAATAATCTGTGAAACAATGGTCAGTAATCTGTGAAACAATGGTCAGTAATCTGTGAAACAATGGTCAGTAATCTGTGAAACAATGGTCAGTAATCTGTGAAACAATGGTCAGTAATCTGTGAAACAATGGTCAGTAATCTGTGAAACAATGGTCAGTAATCTGTCATCCTGACAATGTTGTGTTGTTTATCACATTATCCATGAAATAAATGCTGTTCTGCAATTCAACATCCTTGAAGAAAATAACAATGAACTGTCTGCCGTACAGCTGATTCAAGACTTCTACAACAAGACATATTATGAACGACGTGGAGGGTCCTGGGAAAACATGGAGCGCTACAACAGATACCTGCATGACAACATCACGGACCAGCAAGCGATTATCGAATACACACTAAATGCCAGCGCAGCAGAGTCTGGCAAACCCTTTGACGTCAAGTAAGTCTGGGTTTATGTATACAGATATGAGCACACTCGCTGGTTCCTTAGGGTTGCATTGGGAGCAGAGGGTATCGTTAGTTGCAATATATAGACAATTCAGTCTATAGTTCCTTGGATTCCCTCCTCAGTACAGTGGTGGCAACAAGTTTAAAACCATCTATAAACTAATTCATATTTATAATTTTCTTGTGAAAAAAACTCCAGAATTAATACCATTGAACAGCCAAATGGCACCGAACATGAGAATCTCTTTCACAGTTTATAATGTCAAAGAGTATGCAATAGCTTGTGAGGATTCCATTTAGTGTGCCCTGAAATTCTGTTTATGCGATACGCTGTGATGATTCCATTTAGTGTGCCCTGAAATTCTGTTGATGCAATACGCTGTGATGATTCCATTTAGTGTGCCCTGAAATTCTGTTGATGCAATACGCTGTGATGATTCCATTTAGTGTGCCCTGAAATTCCTGCAATAGTATGAAAAATTCAATTATTATTTGCAAGACGGTCTTACTCTTTTGGCCACCAGTGTATATTCCTCATTGTATAACAGTGCCGGGCACCAGTTGTGTTTGTTTACTGTTCTTCCTTCTGTGGAACACTCTTGTCTAGAGTAACATATGTGCATATAATTAAATAGTTGGAAAGGCATTTATAGGATCAAAGTCATTGCACCAAGTTTTTTTTGTAATGTGACTCAGTCTGCCTCTGCAGAGTGGTATGGTGACATATGAGAGCATTACATCAAACATCAACAAGTCCCAGAGATTCCTGAATGTCCACACTTACTAGATGGCATCTGTTGTGCCTGATAATAGCAGAACTGAGATATTGTGTGCCTTTATTGGCCTAGCCATGCCACCAAACATTCTCATGCTGAATGAATCCCCACCAATCTACCCTTTGTCCTGCACCAGTTTAAAAAAACACAGCCAGTCAACCACACCACAACCAGTCAACCACACCACAACCAGTCAACCACACCACAACCAATCAGCCACAATGCAACCAGCCAGCAACTATTGTTCTCATTGCTGCTTTGGATAACAATATGAATGACACCAACATTGATTCCACCAACAGTATAGATGACACCAGATTACTTCCTATTATCATTATAAATAGCACAAATATTCTTTTCATTAAAAGTATAAATGACACTAGTGTTCTTTTCATCAGTACTATAAATGGTAACAGTATTTTTTTTTGTTAGTAGCTTAAATGACACCAGATTTCTTTTCATTAGTGATATAAATGACATCAGATTTATTTTTATTGACAATATAAAAGACAGTATTCTTGTTATTAACATTATAAATAACAAGTCTTTTCAGTATGCTTATCATAAACAGTATAAATGACACTAGTATTCATTAGATTAATGGCCTAAATGACACTCGTGTTCATTTTATTAACAGTATAAATGACTCCCAATCTCTTTTCATTAACAGTACAACTGAAACCAAAAGAATTGACCCTAAGGAATTTGGTGCAGACAAAAGCCTGTTGCTGGAACCATGGGAGATCCAATTCTTGTGGTCAACAACCGTGGCTGCCTTTGTCCTGTTTGGCATGATTGGAGCCTTTACATCTGCCAAAGTGGCTGACTTTTTTGGCAGGTATTGCTCAAACTTGATGGTTTTGTTCTTTCATTTTGTTTTCAAATTTTTCTGTGTTGGTTTTTGACTAGCCTCATTTCACATGTGGAGACCTCAGAAGAAGTGCATGAGGGTCCATGGTAAAAGTGAATGGATGCTCCTTAGTGCAACAAAGCCCGGTAAATAATATCACATTTAGTGTGAGAATTGTGTTAGAGACAGTCACTGCAGCTTTCCACTTATTTGAGAACCAGCTAAAGAAACCGATATTGTGATTGTAACTAACTCAAAATGCATACTGAGAAAGATGGAGACAGGTGTAGTCTGTGCAGACTAGCCAGCATTGCTTCAGAGGTCCAGGGAAGTTAGCATCGTTATGTTGGCAATGAAAAAGCAGACAGACTGGCTGGTTCTGCACCACTCAGTGGTTAACTGATGCGCAACAAGCTAGATGTTGTTTAGACCCATTCAGAGCTAGTGACCAGTGTTGAGGCACAGTTAGATCATCATGATGTGAAGAGAATGGTGCAACAGGGTGGGACCAGTGGATCTGTCCAGCACTGCACATTTAGAGGGAGGCAGTGCGGACATTCAGTCAGACTGCTACTCTTCCCACAAGAGTTGGAACTCTTTATTGGCTGCTGAAGATTAGTATGGAGCTGTAACAGAAATGTCCAGAGGTCTGTGTTTTGTCAGTTCTTGAAACTCTGCTTTTTTTTTTTTTTTAATTTAAATATATCCTTCCTCATTTAGTCTCAAAATATTGAGCCGAGTTTCAAGAATAGGAAAAGATGTCCCTAACCAATAATAAATGAACACCACTTTAGAATTACCTTGTAAATGGACAGAGGCAATGATACTGTCCTTAGGAAACCCTGACATTCAAAGCACACAAACCATCTCTCTCAAGCTGTGTATTTACTTTACATTGATACCACATAGTCAAAGACCAGGAAGAGATGACTTCCCAGTTTTGCCTCTTCAGAGGTTCACATGTATTGTAATCAACTCAAAGGTTTACATTTAAACTAAAAGACTTAGACATTTACATGTATTGTAATTGACTGAGAAGTTTCACGTATTGTAATAGACTCAGAAGTTTACTGGTATCCTAATCAATCCAGATATTGTGATCAACAACATATATTTCACATATTTTTTTATTTGTAGAAAGCGTGGTATGATCGTGATTACATTTCTGATGTTCATTGCTGCCATCTTGGGAGGGATTACATTGAAAGTGATGTCCCCGGAGTGTCTTATCTTGTCTCGAATGGTTGTTGGCTTGCATTCTGGTGAGACATTTTTCTTTTTTCTTCCATGAAAATGATTTTTATCCTTTTGCGGCTGCTAATTATTATCCCCATCCACGCAAAAGTCTCAACAATTCAGCCAGACAGTTTGCTGAAACTTACCTGAGAGCAGATAAAGGAAGCATATCCAGAGAAGCAACTAAAGATTGTATACTGCATTGGTCGCAAGAGTTGCAAGATTTTAATGTCTGTTCCACAAGAATGGTGGACCAGCAACTGACAGTAGAAAACAATATTCAGCCAAAGGCAAAAATTTAAAAATTGAAGAAAAAATCTTTGCAGTAAGGAAGACCTGGCAAGAGAAGACAGGATGTTTGAACTTTGAAAAAGATGGAAGAAACTGGTCTGTGTTTAAAACTGAAAAATGAAAACAGTCACAATTTCCACAGACAGACGGGGACAAACTGAAACACACTAAAAAGCAGAAAACCTGCTTCTTGCATATTTCGATGCAGTGAGCAATACAGAGATCAAACTAGTTAGGAAATATGAGATCACAGAAAAAATAGAACAACTGTTGACATGGAGACAAATCCAGAAGATGACATAATGACCACTCCATTCTCAAAGGAGGAACTCATGACTGCCATGGAAGCTGTTCAACTGATGCATGATCCAGGCCCAGGTGAGATAGCAAATAACATGACTGTGCATCTGGGAGAAGACACCTTACAGAAAAACCTACAGATTTGTTTCTCCGGTTGGAAACATGGTGCAGTCCTACAGATATGGAGGAAAGCAGACTTCATTCCAATCCTCCATCAGGGCAAACCTAACACAAGGCAGAAAGCTGTTGACCAATCAGTCTGATCAGCTGCGTTTGCAAACTAATGGAAAGACTGACCAACAACAGGCTCAAGTGGTACCTGGAAAGAATGGGAATCTTAATGGATGAACAGGTTGGATTCAGAACTAGCAGATCAACTGAGGACCAATCGCATACTTATCCCAGATGAAAGAACTTGGCTGTCAAGAAGACAAAATATATACAGTAGCAGTATGGGCAGACTGGGAAAAAGCCTTTGGAAGCGGCTGGACTAAAAACCTGGTAAAAAAATTTAGAAGACACAAGATCACCCATAAGCTTGCCCAATGGATCAAACAATGCCTGTATAAGAGAAAAGCAGTGTTAAACTTGTAGAATTAAAGCCAGACTTCTATATTGCTGGTAATTTTATGCATATTCTGAGCATGTAGGAGTGCAAGGCCGTGAGGTAGCTGGTTTTTATTTTGCTACAAATGTGATAGCAACAGGGATATTCTTAATGAATAAGACAAACAGTCCATCAACCAGTTTGGTCCTATGGCTTTTTGAAGCAATCAGCGCTACCTTATAACATTTACTACAGGAGATCGAGCATCCATGGTTTATGTGTTATATTATGTTCTTAAGTCAGTCAAAGGCAGAGGTGAATATTTTATAACCTTGTGGTATTACTGAGTTGAGGGTCATTGATCATTTGGTGAAAAACAGTTAGAAAAAAGAAGACAAAATATATTCTGTGTTTGCATGGTGTAACGTCTAAAAATAATATCTGTTCTGGTGTCTGTATTACAGGTCTAAACATAATATTCTTTCTGGTGCCTGTATTACAGGTCTAAACATAATTCCTGTTCTGGTGTCTGATTTCAGGTCTAAACATAATAATATCCTTTCTGGTTTCTGATTACAGGTCTAAACATAATATCTGTTCTGGTGTCTGTATTACAGGTCTAAGCATAATATTCTTTCTGGTGTCTGATTACAGGTCTAAACGTAATATTCTTTCTGGTGTCTGTATTACAGGTCTAAACATAATATTCTTTCTGGTGTCTGTATTACAGGTCTAAACATAATATCCTTTCTGGTGTCTGATTACAGGTCTAAACATAATATTCTTTCTGGTGTCTGTATTACAGGTCTAAACAGGTCGATCTTTTCTGGTGTCTGATTACAGGTCTAAACTTAATATTCTTTCTGGTGTCTGTATTACAGGTCTAAACATAATATTCATTATTATGTCTGTATTACAGGTCTAAACATAATATTCTTTCTGGTGTCTGATTACAGGTCTAAACATAATATTCTTTCTGGTGTCTGATTACAGGTCTAAACATAATATTCTTTCTGGTGTCTGTATTACAGGTCTAAACATAATATTCTTTCTGGTGTCTGATTACAGGTCTAAACATAATATCTGTTCTGGTGTCTGTATTACAGGTCTAAACATAATATCTGTTCTGGTGTCTGTATTACAGATCTAAACAAAATATATGTTCTGGTGTCTGTATTACAGGTCTAAACATAACGCTGTGTCCCCTATATCTGGCTGAAATTTCTCCAAAGAAAATCCGAGGTGCTGTTGGAACATGCCACCAGTTGGCCATCACTATTGGTATCCTGGTTTCACAGATTCTAGGTCTGAAAGAACTCCTGGGTAAGTACAGTTTTGTCAGTCTCGTCCTGTAGCCAGCAAACTGAGAGATGGATTTTTGTGATCTCGTATCATAACTTCATTGATCTTTATCATAAGTCACTTGATTTTGTCATAAGTCACTTTTTGAAGACGCATTATTTACAGTGGGTTCAGGATTCAGCACACAGACCTGTCTTGCTTTCTGCTTTTCTGGCCACACTCCAAATATACATTACTTCATTCACATGCATCTTTTAATAGGTAATAATAATAAACATCATCAGCATCAACTAAATATTAATGAAAAATGCTTTAATGTGCTCTAATCATAGCTGCATTTCTAAACAGTTATAATTCCTAATATAAAATTTGTAATATTCTAGAATACATATCAATGCTTTATATAGTATTATCTTTTAAAAAGGCATGTAGTCTATAGTAAGATAGTATTTTAATGGTTTGAAATTGTATGTACAGGGTTAGTGGGACAGTGTTACAGTATTCATTCACTTTGGTGTATGTTCAACTTGGTATACATCTTGTTTAGATGTGAAAACTTTTGCTTGGTATGCGACCTTTGTTTGGAATACAAACTTGTATGAGCGAGTCAGAATTATTCATAACACTGCACACTATCTTTGTATACCTCTCTTGAGATAAAGTCACAGATAGATGTTGTTGACTCTGCAGATATGTTTAACCCCAAAAAAGCCCAAACCATATGTAATAGCCTTGTCTGAAACTAGTAGACAGTGTCGCAGTTCCAAAACACCCTAAGGAGAAGGCAGAAGCAAAGTTTATTGTCAACCATGATGAGTCTCAACAAGGTCAAGTAGTGAAAAGTGACAGACAAAAAAAAAAAAAAAAGCATCAGAATTTCAGATTTCTGAACTTTGATTGCAAGAGAACTTTCTTTCCCAACAATAACAATTCCTTCTTTTCCTGTCTCCACCCACCATCATAGTAGGCCTTTGACTTTTCTCAGGAAGATAAAGGGACGTTACATTTTCATTTATTTCATCTAATTATTTGTGTACGCAATATTTTAGTAAAAGGCAATATATATATATATATATGTGTGTGTGTGTGTGTATTATTTCATACAACCCCCCATAAATGTATAATATGCCAGTAACAATAGGAGTATTTTAATGGAAACAGATTAATCCTTCTCTCATTATTTCTCATGGGGGAAATGCATTTAGTATATGTTCTCCTTGGTATACATCCAAGGATCAAGAATGGATTAAGTACGAGCGGAAGTAAATAAGTAAGTCACAATTAGTTGTTGAAAAAAATTAAAGTTGATAACACATTAAAACGGTTTATTTTTACACATACACTGTACGTTCATTTTTCAACATAATTCCCACCGACATTGATGCACCTGTCCCATTGTTTTATCAGTCCTTCCAAACCTGTTGCATAGAACTGCCTGCTCTTTGTTCTAAACTACATTTTCACTTCACATTCATCTTCTGCATCATTCACGAAATGTCTCCCACCAAGGTGGGTTTTCAATGGACCAACAATTTCAATCGATCATACATTATGTTGTATGCTGAACCCATGCAGCTGCTACATTACTTCCCTGTCACCTTTAATCATTTCCTCCACCCTCTGCAAGAATGTGTCAGTTGCAATCTCAGCAGGACGACTATATCAGACTTCATCAACAATTTTAGATTGTCCTTAACATTTATCTTTTTTTAACCTACCTATGCACTGCTATACGGGATAAACATTTGTCAGCATAAATAGGAAGCACTTCCTTATGAATGTCCTTTACAGCCCTTTTGCTAAAAAAAAAAAAAAAAAAAACCTAGCGCCACCTAACGAACAGAGGCATAAAGTTCAATGTTGCTGCCACCTAATGACACCTTAAGAAATCACCAGCTATATTTTCCTGCCATCCCATAACCATTTGTGACTTACTAATTGACTTCCACTCATATGTTTACCGAGGTACCAGGGTATTTTTGATTCACTATGAAACATAGGAACTTTGCTTAGTAATTATGTCAGCTGTAGTTTTAAAAAAACTGGCTGTGATTCTCGGAGAGTGACTTTTTCTGTTTGGGTTGTTTTCCTTCAGGGACTGAAACACTGTGGCCGTATCTGTTTGCATTCAATGCTGCACCATCTATCATCTGTCTACTGTTGCTGCCACTGTGTCCTGAGAGCCCCAGGTTCCTGCTCATCAAGAAGGGAGAGGAGGAGGAGGCTAAAAAAGGTTTGTAAACTGCTGTCTTGACACTGACTGGAGATTGTAGTGTGAACGGCTGTTTGGGCAGTTTTCAAGTTATTGCTTTTTTGATGTGGGACATAACATGGGGGAAAGAAGAGGGGGAGGAGGGGAGTGCTTATAGTTGAGTCAAAGATCAGAGTGTTTGGTTACAGTCTGAGTCAAAGATCAGAGTGTTTGGTTACAGTCTGAGTCAGAGATCAGAGTGTTTGGTTACAGTCTGAGTCAAAGATCAGAGTGTTTGGTTACAGTCTGAGTCAAAGATCAGAGGGTTTGGTTATAGTCTAAGTCAAAAATCAGAGTGTTTGGTTACAGTCTGAGTCAGAGATCAGAGTGTTTGGTTACAGTCTGAGTCAAAGATCAGATTGTTTGGTTACAATCTGAGTCAGAGATCAGAGTGTGTGCTCTTACTGTTTGAGTCATAGATTGGAGTGTGTGCTTTGGGTATGTCATATATTGGAACATGTGCTTACTGTAAAAGTCATAGACTGGAGTGTGTGCTTACTGTATGAGTTATAGATTGAAGTGTGTGCGTACGGTATGAGTCATAGATTGGAGTGTGTTCTTACTATATGAGTCATAGATTGGAGTGTGCTTACTGTATGAGTCATAGATTGTAGTATGTACTTACTGTTTGAATATCATACAGCAGAGTGTGTGCTTACTGTTTAGAGCTTACTGTGAAACCAAAGATCAGGAAATGTGCTTACTGAGTCATCCATTTTATAGTTATTAATTAAGTCACACATCGGTCTGTGATAACTGCTTGATAAATTATTACTGAGTGAGCCACACCTCAGTGTTCATGCTTACTGTTTGAATCAATAGACTTTATTCAGACTGTCAGTGTTTATCTAGACTTCAAGCTAAGACTCAGTCATGTAGCTTCCTTGCATCAGAGAGACTAGTTTGGTTCAACATGATTTTCCTCTTTGACAGCCCTGATCAAGTTCCGGGGAACTGACAGTGTGTCCGATGAGGTTGAGGAGATGCGGCTGGAGGCCAGCAAGTCTGTGGGTGTAAAGAACTACACTATTAAGGAGCTGCTGACCACACCAGAGCTTCGCATGCCAGTTTGGATTGCCTGTATCCTTCAGATTTCCCAGCAGTGGTCTGGGATTAATGCTGTAAGTCTTTTGGAGAATCACACCATGTTTTACCATTCACCATCATCATCTTCATACTTCTCTCATATTCTTCTTTGTTTTTTCTTCTCCTTTTTCTCATCCTCTTCATTCTGTGGAGTTCTGGAGTAGACATGTTGGTCATGACTCTTTGCTCCTCTTTAAAAATCGTATTTTTTCATGAATATTATTGCTCATATTATTGTCATGTGAGACAAAGAAATAAGAGTAATGTACGGAGAACCAGTGGTAACATTTATAAGACAAGGCAGATGATAAACTGGTCACATCCTTAGATGAAGCAGATAAGGAATCACAAATCAAACTTTGAATTGGAAAACAAATTGATTGAGAAATCAAGGACTTTTAAGAGTATACCCTACAGACCATTACTGATGAGATAATAAACAGATTGTAGTAAATGATGTACTAGGGTAGAGTCAGGATGTTCCAACTTGGTTATTGAAAGACTTCAACAGATGTATACAGCTTTGTCATTTACTGTCTACAATATTATCTTATGTCATCAATTTCTGTCTATAGAGTTATCCAGTGTCATCATCTGCTGTCAACACATTTATCATATTTCACATATTGTGGAGTTTTATCTCACTTCACCACATTCTGTCAACATATTTATCGTATTTCACATATTGTGGCATTTTATCTCACTTCACCACATTCTGTCAACATTTTTATCGTATTTCACATATTGTGGAGTTTTATCTCACTTCACTACATTCTGTCAACACATTTCCATATTTCACATATTGTGGAGTTTTATCTCACTTCACTACATTCTGTCAACATATTTATCATATTTCACATATTGTGGAGTGTTATCTAACTTCACTACAGTCTGTCAACACATTTACCGTATTTCACATATTGTGAAGTTTTATCTCACTTCACTACATTCTGTCAACATATTTTCATATTTCACATATTGTGGAGTTTTATCTCACTTCAACACAATCTGTCAACATATTTAGTGCATTTCACATATTGTGGACTTTTATCTCACTTCACATTCTGCCAACATATTTATCGTATTTCACATATTGTGGAGTTTTATCTCACTTCACCACATTCTGTCAACACATTTCCATATTTCACATATTGTGGAGTTTTATCTCACTTCACTACATTCTGTCAACATATTTATCATATTTCACATATTGTGGAGTGTTATCTAACTTCACTACAGTCTGTCAACACATTTACCGTATTTCACATATTGTGAAGTTTTATCTCACTTCACTACATTCTGTCAACATATTTTCATATTTCACATATTGTGGAGTTTTATCTCACTTCAACACAATCTGTCAACATATTTAGTGCATTTCACATATTGTGGACTTTTATCTCACTTCACATTCTGCCAACATATTTATCGTATTTCACATATTGTGGAGTTTTATCTCACTTCACCACATTCTGTCAACATATTTATCGTATTTCACATATTGTGGAGTTTTATCTCACTTCACCACATTCTGTCAACATATTTATCGTATTTCACAAATTGTGGAGTTTTATCTCACTTCACTACATTATGTCAACATATTTATCTCATTTCATGTATGAAGTTTTAATCCCAGTTTCACAAAATTCTGTCAACTGTGTAACACCCTTGTTTATAATATGCATTGTCAAGAATATTACCGTTAATTCATCACATACTGACAATGATAAATCCTAGGTGTTTGAATCCTAACAATTTAAATGCACATTGTATGTTATTAATATCTGCAGGTGATGTCCTACTCAACGATCTTGTTTGGCCAAGTTAACATTGACCATAACACTATCCCGTACATTGTTGTTGCTACTGGGGTTATCAACGTTGTCTGCACCATTGTTGCTGTAAGTATACTTGAAACTAACTTTTCATCTTAGCTTGTTTGTGGGGATTTCCAGATTTACCATCAGGGGAAAAGAAAGGCACACTGATGCCCTTACAAGTATGTCGACTAATTAAGGTGTTTCTTTCAAAGTCAAGGTGCATTTGCCCTTACAAATAAACCAGATCTGTGAAGTGGATGTGCATGCAAAACTCAAGTTCTGGATAAAGACTTCAGCCTAGAAGTGAATGAACAATTAGAGCTTACTGCAGGAGTTTACAGTTGGTGAAGACTATAATGAAGAAGAAGATTTCATTGTTTTACTGAATCTTGTAAGTTTTGTATTAGAAGGCATGGTCTCCAGAAGAAATGACAATCCCAATTTTCAACATTCTGTTTCCTGAGTAAATTTAGTTGGATAATCTTGCTGCAGAGGATTCGCAGCCAACTCAGGTGCATGATTGTTGAAAGAGATTCCAGTAAACAGTGGATGTAGTCATTAGTCTGAGTCTACAACCAAGATGAAAACAGTGTGTGCTGAAGGTCCATTTCAGCCAACCTTTTAAGTGGTGATGACACATTATTGATTGTCTCTATGGAGGTGAATGCTGAGGGAGGAGTAGCAAAAGTACACATACTGTGTACTAAGAAACAGATGTTTCAAGATCACTCATGGAAACCAAAGGAAACATAATTAAATTGATAGGAAACCTTAACAAAAGCGGTAAAATAGAAAATACAAGAGAAGAGGGCTAGAGGAAAACAGAGAAAGAAGGTATTTAGTAAGCGTACACAGCTGGGCTTATAAAATAATGGTGTGAGTAACATCAAGGCTGTCCCATAAGTTTGCAAAACTTAGGAACAAAAAAACTATCTGCAATGCCACTACAAGCATAACTCCAGCTTTACTTATATATGTTCTTCAGTAATGGAGGACGTGCATCGAAAGATTTTTTTTTAATTAATGAGTCATGTAGAGCATGTTTTATATAAATAATTATTGTTTTTTATAAAACAAAATGTTAAATTTTCTGATGTTGAAACTTGTGGGACATCTTATCCAAATATCAGATGACAGAGAGGGTCTGCATGTCATAATCATTAATGTCTGTTCTAGACTAGGCATGTACAAGATGGGAAAACTGGACCATTGTGAGTGAACAGGGTAAAACTATTGGCCTTTCATCCTAGCCCTCCAGTCTTGTGATGTAGAGGTGAAGCATCAAATATGGAAGATGTGCCTTAGTTAGGAGAATTCCCAGTATTAATGTAATTCATATCAAGGATGAATTTGTTACCAGGTGCCACTGATGGAGAAAGCTGGACGTCGGCCACTTCTGCTGTACCCCATGATTGGCATGTTGGTTTCCTTTATCGTGATGATGATTTTGCTCAATCTACAGAAGAATCCTGATCTGAGTGTAAGTGGACAGTTGTTTATTGGTCATTATAAATAACAATACAGTCTTCTCTTATTTCCTCTTCACTCAGAATTTCTTGCAGCATCAGGGCAGGAAGAGATCTATGGAACGTGCCCTTTTGTTCAATCCATATATAACACTTTTCAGTGTCTCCTAAATTTATGTGGTCCATCTTCTGCATGGTTGACCTATGGCTTTGGTACAGCTGTAACTGAATAAAATTGCTCTTTCTGGTGCCCTGTCTGTTGCCAATCTTGTGACATGGCCAAACCATTTGATCTCTTGTCTACTGATAAAGTTTATGTATTGGTTCTGTATCATCCAGGTAAAGAAATGCAACTAACTATAACCATGTATAGAAATTTCAATGGTAAATAAACGTAATAATTTATTTCAAATAAAATGAAAACAGTGTCATTAACTGGAGCCTTGAGTGTGATTGTTTATCTATCCATTGTGTCTTCCACAGGACCATCATGTGTCATTTGCAATTGTCTGCATCATTGCCATGCACACATACATCATTGGATTTGCCCTCGGCCTTGGTAAGTAGATTTCAGATATTGTTTTTTCATTATCAGTTAGTCTCAAACCTGCAGCTGAAACAATGGCATTCTTGCTTTATCTGACACTTTTGGCCGATGAGCATCCATCCTTAGGAGAGTGGCCAAGTTGTACGGGATAAAACTATGTGCAGTGAAGTCGACTAAACCTTTTGCTTACCTCTCTTGTAATTTCTCTTCTTCTTCTTCTTCTATTCTTCTTCTTCTTCTTCTTGTTTCTTCTTTCTTCTCTTTTGTCCTAAAAAGTTTGGCACATTATGATGTGGTTTACAGCTAGGCTGTGATGTCTTCACTTTTCTGCCTAAAAAGTCAAATTTTTTGTCTTAATTCCTAATTAGTCATCTTTTACAGTGCGCTTATTAAGGAGCAGTTGGTCTGTTCTCCCCGACCTCACATACGGATACCAGTATTTGGCACTGACAGCAGAGGGTGGTAGAGACGTGCTGTTTAATTACTTGTTGCTTGACTTCAGACAAGGAATGTGAACAGTACTAATTCTATGTCATAATTTCGAATTCTGTCTTCTTTCATTGCAGTGGGAAACCTTTATTCAAAAATGTCTTCTTTTGTCTTTTTCTGTATACAACCTTTCCAGGGCGGTTGCAGCTAGTTATGATTGTTATGGTTACAGCTAGGCTGCAATATCTATGCCTTTTTGTGTGTCTCTCACACATCTGACTCAGCAAACTCCTAATTAGTTGCCTTTTATGACATGCTTGTGAGGCACCTCCTTTCTTTTCCAGACACCCCCACCCATGGAAATGGGGACCCAGAAACCACACAACCCACACACAGATTTTTTAATCGTTTGTTTATAGATATATCAGTCATCTCTCTTACTAATGAGACCATCTGACACTGGTAGCAGAGTGGTTGTTGAACTATGCTGTTTAATATTTTTTGAACTATTTATGATGTTCGAACCTAGGTTTAGAAAATTGGAAAACAAATGGCTGGGGAAACCGAGGAACCTAAAATATGAAATTAGGAAATATGAAGGAGTCCAACTTGAAAGACAGAAAAAAGCATTAGGACAACTGCAGTTACGCAGAGTAAACAGACAGTAAAAGATGGTGACGTATTGGGCACATTCTGAGATGAAGATGATAGAGAATCACCAAACAGGCACTGAAATAGAAAACACATGGATTGAGGAATCAAGATAATCTTCTAAGAGAAAATCTGTGGCAAACAAAGAAAGTAAACAGTAAACAAAGAAAGTAAACAGTAAATAAAGTCAAGGACCCTTTACACGCCTTTAGGCATATAGGGCTAGACCTAATTTTTATAGACCAATCGGCACAAGATGGGTGATGTGGTCAGCATCACACCGGCTGCCTTTACTTCCTGGGACTGCACCCGTACCCACTCAAGGCTGGGTCAACCTGGGAGCCAAGGTCATTTTTGAAAATAGTCAGGGTCGGCCAGGGAGCGAACCCAGGACTGTCCGATTTGCGGCAAGCATCTAGCTGCTCGGCCCCAGAGACTTCCAAAAAGAGAAAAAGGCCAATGTTGCTGGATTGGATTCCATCCCTGATATCAAAAACATTGCACAAGATAGAACAGAATGAAGGAATTGAATGCTCTGCCTTGTGATGTGTCATGAGTACAGCAAGACGAAAGTAACTTATTTTTACTGATAGGCAGGGAAAATGAAGCTGACAGTAAGAGGTGCAGATGACTTCAGCAGTTCATGTTTGTGGGATGTCCACATTGGACGCAGATAAAAACCACAACATGATTAAAGAAATTACACAAGACAGTAATACAAGAGCAACAATTTAGGGATACTGTTACTCAATGATAAGTTTTGGAAATTGACAGCTGGAATTACAAATACACAAGAGACCAAAATATACGTTTAAGGTCAATCCTGCAAATATTTTTGCTGAAAAATATCACAAATAAAGAACTGAAAAGGAAAACAAAATGTTCATCACTGGTAAATGTTATCTCATGAAGAAGATAGAAATGGCTTGGGCATGTTTGCAGAATGCTTCTTGATGATTTGGCAAGGAAAGCTCTTTGTTGGACGGCAGTTGGAAATGGCGATGTGATGACGACAAAAGAAGGGGAAGTACATGAATTTAAAATGACATGGGATACCATAGATAGAAAAGCAGCAGATCTCTAGCAGTGGGTATTATCTTGCCTTTTGTTGAATGCATACAAATTAAAAAAAAAAAAATTTTTTTGTATATATTATATATATATATATATATATATCTATATATATATATATATATATCTGGTATATATATATATATATATATATATATATATATATATATATATATATATATATATATATATATATAATATATATAAAATAAGGCAAAGGCAAGAGACTTGAAGATAGGGGAATTCTCTAGACTCTGTCAGTCCAGGCAGGGCACCACAGTAACTGCCATGATGAGGCACAGGAGGCTTGAGCAAGGTAGTTGGAATTGTCTCTGTTAGATTGGCATCCAGGGTGCAAACTCTATGAGTCTAAGGTATTGATCAAACCTTCTAGTTCTGGTATATTTTGGAGGGAAGCTATTAAAAGGCAAAGTGATAAATTCACTTCAAATTGTCAGTATGTCAGTTGTAGACAGTTTTTTTTGAACCAAGAATTGTTCACTCATTGTGTATGTTCATGTGTAACAATTGAGTGTTTCTATCACAGGCCCCATCCCATTCATCGTGGTGGGGGAGATCTTCCGCCAGGAGCCCAGAGCTGCTGCCATGAGTTTGTCCTTGGCCTTTAACTGGGTGTGCAACTTTATCCTGATGTTGACATTCCCATTTTTAAAGGTAAACCCACTTACTTATTTATTTAGTGTGCCCTATTCACTTTCCACTGATAGCTTTTATTTGTCCCGTTTTTCCACTTTTTGCTTCTGCTCTTTATCCCCCAGTGTAGCATAGATGTATCAGTTTGAAGCATTTCCAGTTTTTTTTTTTTTTTGTCTTAGTGTAGTTTAGGTCCACATATGGTCTCTAGGTTGAGCAGCAGCAGGTTTTTCTGGTTAACCTTTAAAAGGGCTGTGTTTACACACAGGTTTGTATGTTACATCACTTACATGTACACAAGTACACAGATGTACACAGGTTTGTATATTACAGTACATCCATACACAATGGTTTGCATGTTGCATTGCACACATGTATTAATGTTACATTACATGTACACTGTTCAGTGAATGTCACATTACATACATATACACAGGTTTGTATGTTACATTACCTATATGTACACTTGTTTGTTTTTTGCATTACATTACATTTACTTCTGCTACATTACATATATTTACAAAAGGTATGTATGCTTAAAAATATGCCAGTTTGCACATTGTCACTAAAATTTGTTTAACTTGTATCTTTCAGGAGGGACTGGAGGAGTTTGTGTACATCATCTTCTGCATCGTACTTGGATTAGCCATTGCTTTCATCTTCTTCTTCGTTCCTGAGACAAAAAACAAAACATTTGATGAGGTTGCAAACTCTATCTCTCTTGGTGGTCGAGCCAAGGGCACAGGAAAAGCTTACGGTATCAACAGCGAGGAGAATGAACCTATGAGCACCAGTAAAGTATGAATGTGACCAGCCAGGTGGCTCCTTAGTGAATACAATAGAGTCTGATTCATCAGAACTTTAGCTAGAATGTGATAAAATATACAATGTGACCAGATGATGTCAAATTTCGTTAAGAGATTAGCTAGAAGGAAATTATAATGTGATCAAAGAATGAGAAGATTTATCTAAGGACAGTGTGAATGTTAGAAAGTTCATCGCAACCTTCTGCAAGCACAGGGTAAACACTAGAGTTTGATGCGATAGGCAATTGTGTGGATCATGAAACAAATGTAGCTAAAGTGTGATGGGACAGAAACAGTCAGATCTTGGCTGTTCTTGGGATGTGAATAGTTTGCCTTTACTTTTTCTTGTTGTGTGACGTTTCTTGTACATTTTGTGGTCCATGAAAATAGAGATTCCAGGTAACATCTAAAACTATGTTTAAAAAAATCTTGGCTTGTGTGACAAGACAACAAAATTGAAAAATGTGTGGGGGATGGTTGAGAAGCTTTTTCGCTCAAAATAAGAAGGTGTTGGGCTACATAGCTGAATATTTGTGTGAACCTGAGTCCGCTCTGAATTCACCTCTAAAGGTGATGGATGTGCTTTTCCCATCTCTTCATTTTCCTGATTCGCTAACTGTAGAACCATGTCTGAGTACATGTAAGACAAGTAAAGGACCCTGTTTTATGGCAGCGGTGCATTGGGCATATGATTCAAAAGTCATATTTTTATGTTTGGCACTGGATGGGTAATGTGGTTAGCAACATCTTGGCCACCATTACTTCCCAAGTCTAAGACTGGGATGGCCAGGAATCCAAGGCCAGTATTCAAAAAGACAATATTAGACTTGGTCTCGAACTGAACCAAAATTTTATAGCCAGCGGGAGAGCATTTAACCACTATGATGTCATGGCTCCCATAGAATCACATGTCCAGTTCAGTAATCAAGGCCTGATTGACATCATGCCCTCTCCACTATACCCACTAGACCAGGCACCAAGAGACATCTTCCTAGAAAATCCATGCTGTGGGCATTATTCTGCTAACAGTCAGGATTTAATAACTGAACTGTAAACATACTTCCAGACCAAGGTGGAGGGCTTATATAATTGATGCATTAACAGAGAGTACTAAAGAGAGAAGGGATTCATACAGCTTTGTTGTCCTCAAGGTTCTCCTTCTTAAAGTCCATGCCGTGTCTGTTCACAACCTTCTGTCTCATGTACTTTCAATCAGCTCTCACACAGATGATTTTCCATGCCATGATATCAGACCATCCAGCATCTGTTCTCTCGGTCTCCCCCTGCCTCTCTTCCCCTCCAACTTTCCTACTGTCATGATGTACTCCAGTTTTCTCCTTCTCATCACATGACCACAGAATGTAGATTGTCTCTGATGTGGGCAATCAGTTCGCTTTGTGAGTTTTTAACCTCTAGGTTAATGAGTGTCATTCACAATCTTCTGTGTACCAGGATTTGATTTCTGTGGCAACTGCTTTAGGAAAAGATTATATTCACTCCACAGTCCTCAATGTGCCAGGGGTCAACATTTTTAGAAACAAGATAAAGTAAGGTTTCTTAACTCTTGAAACAATAAAGGCTTCAACATATAGTATTTCTCCATTGTTAAAAGGACACTTATGTTTTGTTTTTTTCAAGTTAGTGCTCCGCCATAGGGAAATAAGGTTTCTGTTAATTTCCAGCTACTTACCTTACCTTTCTTCTTTTTCTGTGTCCACCCTTAAAATTATAGGGCAATATTGTTTATGCCGTCTCAGTATGGAATGCAACTTTTTGTCATTTTGAAGCACAACCCCAGACGGTCGAAGAGGGTTTCTGGAACTTGTACCCAGGCGGTCCTTATCCGAATGGTGGCACTTTGTGTCACTGGGTGTTTGTCGCTCAGTGTATGGTCCTGATGGGTTTGAATCACACACACCCACAATGGACCCACAATGGGCCACAGAGCCAACACAGAAAAGGCTTTCTTACTAAAGTGCACAACTTTTCCACTGCCATTAGTCGTGTGTGAAACTTGCCAGTTTGTAAGGACAAGCATGGATCAGTGTAGTAGATGTTTGACTGTAAACACATGCTGATTTGTGGGCTGACAATACTCACAGGTTGCATTTACCTCCCTTGAATGTAAGACAGGGACACCATGGAAGTCCTTGCTAGACATTCTATACAAGTTTCCAGTATGGAAACTGAAATCATCACTTGTGACTATATTGAAGTGTGTTTTTATGGAAACTGAAATCATCACTTGTGACTATATTGAAGTGTGTTTTTATGGAAACTGAAATCATCACTTGTGACTATATTGAAGTGTGTTTTTATTGAAACTGAAATCATCACTTGTGACTATATTGAAGTGTGTTTTTATGGAAACAAGCTGTAAGGAGCTATACCTTATATTCAAGCCGACACAGATGTATCATTTTGGGATGTTTTGGATTCTAAGTGGTATGCTATTGCGGGTAAACAGATTTTTATTTTTAAAATTTTTGCCAGAGTAGGAATTTTATCACCCCACCGTGTTGATTCCATATGTTATATTAAGATGTTATGTTTCTCTAGTTTTGTTGATGTTGTATTTTATTAGTTCTGTGTTATTAATTCATTTATTCTCATAAAATTTTATGTAAGATATTGTACATGTCTTATCATTTTGTGTGGCAGAGTGGGAATCAACACTGACGTGTGTATATTTTGTGTGGTAGAGTGAGAATCAACACTGACGTGTGTATATTTTGTGTGGTAGAGTGGGAATCAACACTAATGTGTGTATATTTTGTGTGGCAGAGTGGGAATCAACACTGACGTGTGTATATTTTGTGTGGCAGAGTGAGAATCAACACTGGCGTGTGTATATTTTGTGTGGTAGAGTGGGAATCAACACTTGCCTGTGTATATTTTGTGAAGTCATTTATTCATGCCTGATATTAATAGAAGAGGATGCACTAATGATTTTGTTCGTTCAATTGCAGTGCAGTTTCCTGAGCCCTTCATAAAGTGCTGGACTACCAAATGTTCCTCCCCACAAGGGCAAAACTGAGGAAGTTGATATTGTAAATTTTTAAGCCTGAGATCATGTTTTTTTGGTCTTATATCATGACATTTTCCTCAGCAAATTATACATTACTTCCGTTAATCATACATTTCTTCAGCTAACTATCAATTTCTTCAATGAATTTGATATTTTCTTATATATTCTAGTTGTTTGATTCCAGTGAGAGAGATTGCAAGTCTCAGGAAAATCATCTTGTCTCTCTATTGGGTATTTTCTCCTCTAATGTCAAACCCAGTTTTATCTAAAACAAAAATTTGAACTACCTCCCTTGCTACAACCTCTCAGCCTGCCTACCCTTCCCACCTCTCTGGGTCACTTCCTGTCTGCTATCATAATCCTACTCCTAAACCCAGAGCCTCTATGTTCAAGCATTGTTTATGGCAGACCGAAACATTGTTGAAGATTTTTTGGCGGACTTCACCATAAAAAATACGTTATCTGTGAGGCCTCCGGTTTTATGTTATTCTTTTTTTTGTTTTTCGCTTCGTGTTTCTTTTACGTGCTAGTTTTTTGTGTGAATGCTGTTCGTTTGTGTCATTAGACCTATGAAGTCTTGCCTAATGCTACGGTCCACTTTTGTGTTTGTGATTGTGTGAATGTTCATTTGTGTCATTAGCTAATGAAGTCTTCCTAGATGCAACGTTCCATTTTGTGTTTGTGATTGTGTGAATGTTCATTTGTGTCATTAGCTAATGAAGCCTTTCTAGATGCAACGTTCCATTTTGTGTTTGTGATTGTGTGAATGTTCATTTGTGTCATTAGCTAATGAAGCCTTCGACTTCTAGACTGCAACGTCCATTTTTGTGTGGTTGTGATGTTCGTACGCTTTGTTCATTTGTGTCATTAGCTACATGAACCCTAGATGTACGTTCCATTTTTGTGTTTTGTGATCTTGTGGTGAATTGTTCATGTGTGTGATTAGCTAATTAAGCCTTTCTAGATGTAACGTTCCATTTTGTGTTTGTGATTGTGTGAATGTTCATGTGTGTCATTAGCTAAATGCAAGGCTCTTCTAGCTTTGTAAGAGTTGTCAAGAGGTGTCGTTTTTTGGTGCTTGAATCGGATTGTGTGAATGTTCATTGGTGTCCTTATCTAATATGAAGCCTCGCTCGGTGTAGATGTACGTCGGCCGACAGGGTTTTAGTGATTTGTACTGTGTGAATGTTCACCTGCTGTGTAATTAGCTTAATGAAGCACTTTCTAGATTGCACACGGCTTGTCCATTTTGTGTTTGTGATTGTGGTATTGTGAAGCTAACTAGCTCTTCTTCTCATTTGCATTTATATTTTTCTCACAATACTGTTGTCCCAGCAAGAGTTTTGTTATTCGTTTTTTTTTGCACTTGTCTATGTGTACCTGATGTTGCAAGGCTATATTCCTTTATAAGCATTGCACATCTGGACCGCTGTAAAAGCGAATAGGTCTTAGACTGCATCGCTTCTCAGTATTGGTCATATTCCTTTCACAGACGATACACTACCTAGAAACTGTTTGATGGGATGAGTTGACAATGTGTGATGTCTAGAAATACAGGCTGACTTCAGTGACATCTGTATTATTTTTATCTTCTGCTTGATTTGCAGACCACTGCAAAGCCTACAAAATATGAAGTAAAGATGTATAACTGTTCCACTCCTGTGAACTAGTTTACTGCAAAATATTTTTTTTCCAGTTAGGAGTTATTCTCTGTGATTAAGTTTGTATCCCATTTTTACTGAAGAAATAATTTAATCCCACTAAGAATAATTTAGAATGTTAGTTTTGGATCCAGTAATTTACTGTAGAAATAATTTATTGTATGTCTTAGATTTGGATGAAATAATTTATTCCTATTAGGAATTTTCATATGCGTTAGTTTTACTGGAAGACTGATACTTTGTCAAAATTACTGTGCAGAGCAATTTTGTTTACTAAAGTATGCATGCCGTTGAAATGTGTTTTGATGC